CAAAATTAATTATAAGCTCTCATTTGTAATCTGTTCTCTTTAACACTATCGAAAATTTCGTTTATTTACACCTTTTTTCAAAATTTCTGCTGTACAGCAGGGACAGAAGATGTTAATAACAATTTCGGGTAAATAGTTGTAAATTGTAAATAGCTGTTGAAATTTTGTAAATTATGATTTGGGATATTATAATACTTGTTTAATAATTATTTCTTGTCCATAAATACATGCGATTATCTGGTTCCGCCGATAACAATTTAAAAGTACTTATTCTATGAAACGACACTGGCAGATAACTGCGAAATTCTCGAAGTCATTCGACTTGGTTTGACGTTTACCCCCTCTCTACCTACCAAAAGCCTCTCCAACTTTTGCCCCTGCTATAACAATATTTAGATCTTCACTACACATGCTTACAGCTTCATCTCTGACTGTTTCTACCTATGCGATTATCGTAGTATTTTTTACAAATATCCCATATGTTCTCAATGGGGTTAAATTCACATAATTATTCTGTTATTCATGTTGTCACGGTAATCCCATTTCTTAGATTTTTTAAGAAAATGTTAATTCTGCTTAAAAAATAAAGCCATCTTCATTACCTGCATGGACAATTATTTATGTCTTTCCGTCACTTACATAGTCATGTTTTGTTGATTTTTAATTGTATCAGATTCTTTTTTGTAGATCCCTTCGAAAAAATGCAGGTCTCATCTAAATATACAATCGAAGCACTAGTTCTTTTAAATTTATGGAAATTTCTTAAAAAATTAATGTGCTTATGGACTACTGCTGATTTCTCACATGCCTTAAATTTAAATCATATATGTTTTTAAAGTTTTCCATAGACTCTGGTTCTTCCTACATTTACAATTCCTTTATTTTTAATTTCAAGTTAGATACTTTTTGGATGCTCTCATGTCTTAAATGGTATCACGAATTTTAAATTTCATTCTATCAAGAAGATACTTAATTTTTCTCTGGGTGTTTTTTATGATCTGGTTTGCTAGGTTCTAGTTTTTCATAACTTCAGAAGTGTTGACTCCCTAATACCTAGCGTTTCCTTATAGCTCTTTCCTGTACCTGAAGCACTTATATCAAAGGTCTACATAACTTTTTCGGCAAGGAAATAATTAAAAACATTTTAATAATTTTGCCCTAAAATAATTAAACCTGTAAGATTATACAGTAGATGAGGCGACATAATTTTGTGGGAAATTAACTGAAGTTTCAGACATCAATTTATCGAGTGTTAAAAATATGAGTGGCAAATGAAAGAGTATTGAAAATAAAAAAGGAAAACGAGAACAAATAATTTTAGAATTTTAGTTTTAAAATATTACGATCTGACTCAACTTGCTCAATGAAATATTAAATAATAATAAAGTTGTAGTTGTAATAATTCCTCCTGTAAATGAAACCAACCACCTCTCAAAAAACTTTGCAATTTAAATAGTCTAATTAAAAAATATTTTATTCAACAAAGCGGAGCCCCTAAACTTATTGAGTGCCCATATGACGAGAAAAAAAGTTGCTCTGTCTAGATATAGATATCGTCACTCTTAAACAGGATGCCGAAATGTTGAAGAGGGAGTAAAAGAGCCTGTCATGCTCTTCATAAGAAAGTTAAACTATGGAAGAACAGTTAAATTTATACTTTATTCATTACGTAACTATATTTCATCAAAACAAAGTGAGGACTGTACTATTTTACATCGTTTTTTTTTATAGTTACAAGATAAAAATAATTAAATTAGAAAAATTGTGTATTCCTTCCTAAAAAGTTGAAATTGTGAAAATGGACATTGAGTATTAATATGACGTATTGCTCATGTGACACCCCTATAATATTAAAAATTACAAATAATATATCCCTTTGTCAAAAATAATAACCCTTTACCAAATTTGGCAAAAATTATAAATAGGTGTGTATTGTGAAATTATAAAAAAAATCTGATGTGTCCAACACATGACTGTCCTATCTAGTTATTATAGGCATTTTCCGGTTATTTTGTACAACCTATTGCAGCATCTCTATAAATGTTTAGAGGATAAACTAAATATATACATTTTACACATACATCTACCTCGAAACATTTTTCTATAGATATTCATTGAAAACGAAAATACAGAAAAATTTAAATTTAGCACTTTTCCATTACGGACCATTTTAGAAAAATCATGTATAAACAAAAATCTGATGTGTCCAACACATGACTTTCCTATCTAGGTATTACAGGCTTTTTCCGGTTATTTTGTACAATCTATTGCAGCATCTCTATAAATGTTTAGAGGATAAACTAAATATATACATTGTCCACATACATCTACCGCGAAACATTTTTCTATAGATATTCATTGAAAATGAAAATACTGAAAAATTTAAATTTAGCACTTTTCCTACAATTTTTCCATTACGGTCCATTTTAAAAAAATCATGTATAAACAAATATTATAGAGATCGATATCGCAAACAACTTTTATTTCAACAATTTTCATAAAAATCAGAATTTTGCACATTTTGTCAAATTTTTCGAATACGGACCATTTCAGGAAATTTTTACATAAAGCAAAAATTATAGATAATAATATTAGAAGTAACTTTTATTTGAACAATTTTTTTCTTCAAACATAAATAACAGATATATTCCATAAAATATAAAAACGGCCTCCCATAAAGTACCCCCCCAGATGTTCCGACTTTGTCCAAAATCTAATCATTTCACGTCAGGCCGAAATAAAACTTAAGTTTAAAATTTAATGTTTTTTTCTTTATCCATTTTTGAGTTTTCTTCAAATTTCGAAATTTACACATTTTCTCAAATATCTCGAATACGGTCCATTTTAGAGAAATTATCTATAAGATAAAAATGATAGAGAATTATATTACAAACAACTTTTGTTTGAACAATTTTTATAAAAAAAAATATTTTTTTACATTTTGTCAAATTTCGCGAATACGGACCATTTTAGGAAAATTTTGTATATAACAAAAATTATAGATAATAAAATAAGAAGTAACTTTCATTTGAAGAATTTTCTTCCCCAAACGTAAATAACAGATATATTCCATAAAATATAAAAATTACCACCTATAAAGTACCCCCCCAGATGTTCCGACTCTGCCCAAAATCTAATCAGCTCATTAGACGTTGGAACAAAGCTTAAGTTTGAAATTTGGTGTTTTTCCGTGTATCGGTTCATGAGTTATGCGTTATACAGACACACACACACACACAGACACACACACACACAGACATCATCGCGAAAATAGTCAAAACGGATTCAGGGGACCTCAAAACGTAAAAATCCGTCGAAAACTCGAGGTCGAAAAAAATCATGATTCCTATACTTTCCTTATATCTGTATACAGATAGGAAAGTAAAAATTATAGAAATCGATATCGCAAACAACTTTTAGTTCAACAATTTTCATAAAAATCAGAATTTTGCACATTTTGTCAAATTTCTCGAATACGGACCATTTCAGGAAATTTTGACATAAAACAAAAATTATAGATAATAATATTAGAAGTAACTTTTATTTGAACAATTTTCTTCTCCAAACATAAATAACAGATATATTCCATAAAATATAAAAACGGCCTCCCATAAAGTACCCCCCCAGATGTTCCAACTTTGTCCAAAATCTAATCATTTCACGTCAGGCCGAAATAAACCTTAAGTTTAAAATTTAATGTTTTTTCCTTTATCCGTTTTTGAGTTTTCTTCAAATTTCGAAATTTACACATTTTCTCAAATATCTCGAATACGGTCCATTTTAGAGAAATTATGTATAGGACAAAAATTATAGAGAATTATATTATAAACAACTTTTATTTGAACAATTTTTATAAAAAATTATGTTTTTTACATTTTGTCAAATTTCTCGAATACGGACCATTTTAGGAAAATTTTGCATAAAACAAAAATTATAGATAATTATATTAGAAGTAACTTTTATTTGAAGAATTTTCTTCTCCAAACGTAAATAACAGATATATTCCATAAAATATAAAAATGACCACCTATAAAGTACCCCCCCAGATGTTCCGACACTGCCCAAAATCTAATCAGCTCATTGGACGCTGAAACAAAGCTTAAGTTTAAAATTTGGTGTTTTTCTGTGTATCGGTTCATGAGTTATGCGTTATACAGACACACACACACACAGACATCATCGCGAAAATAGTCAAAACGGATTCAGGGGACCTCAAAACGTAAAAATCCGTCGAAAACTCGAGGTCGAAAAAAATCATGATTCCTATACTTTCCTTATATCTGTATACAGATAGGAAAGTAAAAAAGGGAAAATTATTTCAAAGTACCTTTTACTTTTCATTATTTTAATTAAGAAAGTTGGCAAATCAGCCCCTTAAGATTGGTATAATTTTTGTATTGAATTCAAATTTAAGGACGTTATTTTCATTTGTAAATTAAAAGCATATTTTGGGTATACTCACGTAAAATATTTAAATTGCCAGCCATGGGAAACATTTCCTCCTGCCTCGTTACCTCCGAAAATATATATGAATTTTAGATCGTGACAGATGTCAACATTCTATTACACATTCAAGACGTTTTTTAACTCCCTATAATTGACTGCATTAAGTATAGATTAGTTAAACATTATTTATTTTATTTAAATAGGTCATTGTACTGATTAAAATATTTTTTTTTTAAATAAAAATTATTAAATTAAATTTAAAAAAAAATCTGAATGATACCTATATATGTAAATATCTGTCAATTTCTGAAAAAAAAATGAGAATTCCCTTTATGAAAATCAAACTTGTAATAAACGTTAACCCTTTTTATAAGAATCGGGCAAGTGAAAATTCACTTACTTTGTTATTTTATCATTTCTAATAAGATTGTATTATTTTTAGAATTATATATCCCCGGATTCTTTATATAGATAATAATATTAATAAAATATTCTTTATATAGTCATAATAAAGGTTAAGTATTTGACATAGTTTCATTTTGATATGATTGCAGTAATCGGTCGCGGAGGGGAGCAAATAGCCCGGCTACAAGCAGAGACGGGTTGCAAGATACAAATGGCGCCCGACTCTCACGGTACGGGGGACCGAATTTGTTCGTTATCAGGTCCCAAAGATGCGGTCGAGCGGGCCAAACAGCTCATTACCGACATTATCCGGCAAAGAAGCGGCCCCCCCGGTGTATCAGACGACGATGAGCTGTCTTCTCCGAACGCTCATTCAAACTTTCAAGGTTTTTAGATTAATTTCTTTTTTTTTTTTTTTTTTCAATTATATTACAATAATTTTATTACTGCATGCAGCATGCTCCCGGTTGGTAAAAAAACAGTTATTGTATTTGTGGAGCGCTTTGGAGGGTGTTTGGGTATCGGTTTTTTAATTTTTAAATTGGGCTGTGATGTTTCAATTAAGCTTAGACGTTGAGCTTGCTTGCGCTTCTGTCGCGCGTTTAAATCTAGTTACTTTGGCGATAAATACCAACTCTTTCCCTTCTAGTTTTAGTTTAAGCTCGTATCTGTCAGTGTATCTAATCCAGTTAGCTCCTTTTTTGCCACAGCTGTTGCCATGCAGTAACTTTTTTTACCTTTCTGCATTCTAATCCAAAACACCTCAATTTTCTGTACTGTAGATTTCTCTACTCCACTTCTTTTATGCCTTTTTTCCCTCTCCTTCTGTTAGTATTCTGTTGTAACTTGTACTCCGCCTTCAAAACCATTCTGAAGCCTTTCTGGTTCCTGCAAAGAAAATAACAATCCTTAATAATTATTTACTCTACTTTTTATCTTGGACATCTGCATTTATCTTATAAAGTCCCTTATCACAAAAAAAAATGTTATTTCAAATTTTATAACTAGTATATTGTCGGAAGAGCAACAGAAGCGCAAGCGTGACCCAATACTTATATTTAACAATTTCATTTTATATATAAATAAAATGTTTCTTAAAATTAATTAATAACCACAGACTTAGTTGATAATACTCAATTTGAACTCTAGGAATAGAATGAGTCTGAAGAGCTGCTACTTGCTGTTCTAGGGCTGCAAAGTTTTAACGTTAAGGCTCGATGATTGCTACTAGACCTTTAAAATGGTCCCTTTTATGGTCCTAGGGCTGTTCTGACACAATGTTAGACTTGATAACAAAATCATTGAAAAGTAGTAACTCTGCGATACTAGAGCTGTTAATTGTTGTCTTAATGCATTAAAACGGTGATTTAACAGCCCCTAGACTTAAAGTTGACAGTCCTACAATTCCCCAAGACTCGTTTTGCCAGTGCTATAATTGTCCCAAAACTTAAGGTTGCCAGTCCTATAATGGGCCCGTTCACTTTCATTTTTGAATGTGATTTATTTATATATTTATAAAGATATTAAACTCTTTTGTCTGGTGGTACTTTTCCCGTTAAGATATTTTTGCTAGAAGTAAGGGAATTCCCATAAAATTCTTTCAGTGACTCATTGCGTCAGAAAACCCCTAATTCCCTTCAGGTCTTGTATCGGTTAATAGTTAAAAGGGCGCGGTTGTCGTATGTATCATTGCACCACCATTCCTCTTCTGCATTTATTAAAGAAATTTAAATGATAAAAAAATATTATTTTTTAAAAATAATGTGTTTATATTTTCAGATAAAGCTGGAAGGCTTACCTTTTTTAAATTTTAATAAAAACAATTAGTATTACTCAAGCTGAATATTACCAGATCGAAATTTTATTTGAGAAAATGTATCTGGTAAACGTGACAACGTTGTAAGTACTTCTAAATAGTGTTGTCTACACACACTTCTAGAAATAAATGCAACGTTGCCACGTTTACCAGATAAATATTGCAAATCAAATTTCTACTTTTTGATTATGGTCTGGTTAATTTTCAGCCTGAGTAATAATAATTGTTTTAATTAAAAAGTAAAAAATAAGCTCCCAGCTTTAAATCTGAAAATATAAGTTCATGATTTTTAGAAAAATAATGGAATTTTACTATTTAAATTACATATAAATGCAGAAATGCTATATTAGGGATACTTCCGACAACCTCGCCGTCTTTAAGCATAACCGATACGAGACGTGAACGGAATTAGGGATTTTCTGACGCAATGAGTCACTGTAAGAATTTTATGGGAATTCCCTTACTTCTAGCAAACATATCTTTACGGGAAAAGTACCACCAGACAAAAGAGTTTAATATCTTTATAAATATATAATCAATTCACATTCAAAAATGAAAGTGAACGGGCCCATTGCCCCCAGACTGGTACTTATAGTAGTTGTAACTTTACTATTATAAAGCAATCACATATAGCCCTTTTATAACACTTGTTTCTGGCGTTATCAATTGTAGTTACAGGACGTTAATTTTTAAAGCGCCATTATTAGATTCATAGTTTGATTTTAAAGATATCACTTAACAGCTTTAGTACTGATGCATATGGTCCCAAAGTTGATACTTATGCTTCTAGTGCTTTAAAGTAGGCGATTTCCCCGGTCTAGTTCTGTAAGGTCTTGCACTTTTCAGAGCTGAGGTTTGTGGAATGCATTATATTAAAGTGAAAATAACACTTTTGATTATGTTGCTTTTTTACCTGAGCTTATAACTAAAAAAACCCATAGATAACGCTTTAGCTTCCATTTTAATTGGTATTTAAATTTGTTTTGTAAATTACAGAATGCTTTTTTTATTCGTTGAAAGTAAAATTATTGTTGGTGATCGAAACCGCTATTTTTAACATTTCTAGTAGTATTAGTAAAGCTTTTTTTAACATTTTAAAATGGGAAATAGAGGTTCTAATTTGTATCAAAACAAAATAGGTAATTTTACAATAATGACACCTTATTTTTAACAAACAACTTTTAGGTAGTGTTTTATGTTTTGATTTTATATAATTTATATTTTTCTACAGAGGCAACTGCATTTTTATTTTAACCTTTCGGAATTTTTGCTTTTACGAGGGTCGTTTGATAGGTACCTGAAAATCGTTAGTACAACGATATTTAATTGCCATTATGACAGTCTGTTGAAAGTCGCACTGTGTTAAATCAGGTGCTTATGGTGATTGTATAAGTATTAGAAACCTGAATTTGTGTACTTTACCTTGTCATGATGTATATTTAATTTCATCCTTAGTCGTACTTTTATTTACTAATTTGTTTAAAATGGTCCCCTTGCGCTACACCCATTTTGATCATGTTAGGGTATTCCGTAGTGAAGATTTTTCAGGTACTTATCAAATTAGTTATGTAACATTTCATAATCTAACTCAATTATTCGTATTTTAATATCAATTTGTTATAAGACAAAATAACATTTTATTTTCCTAATTGGTTACCTTTACGAGGTCTGTCTAAAAAGAAAATGCTTATTCGTTGATGTTTTGACAAAACTGTTCTACACAGGCCACTTATTCACTTGATTAGACACCTATTGATCTTGTTTTTCTTCTTTTACTGGCATGGAAGTAATGAATCTTAAAATTGTAATTAATGTGATTTTTATTTTTTGAAAACTGTAATAGCCTGTATTCATTTCATTTTGAATTTTACCATTTTGTACTTTCTTGGACAGACCTCTTCTACATAAATATTGGAAATTGGTTTTAAGGGAAAAATTAAATTTTCAAAAATCGTTGATAATAATATTTTAATGGACCTTTTTTTTTAACAAAGGAGTGTAACCATGACAACCATTGTGTTAACGCTGTCATAGTTGTCAAAACTTTAAATGTGGTTGGGTTTATTTAGAGTTTTGTTTTTCGTAAAGATTTCGATTTCGGAATTGGCAGAATAATTTTAGACTGCAAATTGAATAAATACTGCCGTGAACTAAATGCAGGGTCTATTCCGAAAAATGGTCAAATAAAGACCTGGTCATTTGGTTTGGGAAGGGAAGATAAGGGTTTCTGTATTTTAGATTTGTTGCATGAAGTTGTAAATTTTAACATCTCTCTATTTTTAATGAAAAATATTCATGAAGTTTTTGTTTACAATTGTATGACAGATGACATCTGATAACGTTGTCGTGGTAACTTGTTTTGTGTAGAAACAAATAGGTTTTATAGTAGATACGAAATTCCATCAGACCACCTTTAATAAAACAATAACTACAGATAATAAAGAATTTTGGTTGCATTAAATCAGGTGTGGACTAAATTTTTATTATAATTTGTGTAGCATCATTTAGACAGTTTATTAATTTTGATATTTGGAAAAAATACCAGTAATATTACCAGGAAAAAAAACGAAAATAATTTGATTTAATCCAAGATTAATTGTGACATGTTTTGAAGTACAACTTCATCAGATGTGTCATGTTTGATATTATTCTAAATATTTTTTTTGTGGAAATGTATAGTATTATGGATTTTTATCAAGAATACTATTAATATTTAAGCTTGGTTTTGGCAGAAATCAATTAGACAGGCTCATCATATACTGGGTGACAATGAGAACAGGGTCACGTTAATCTCTTTTATTTCTGAAGCGATTTGGATCTAATTTGGATCAATTTTACTAGATATAATTTCGAATTGACTTACATAAAATGACGACTCCAGGTTTTACTGGAAATTCCATTAAGTTTGATTTTTTAATGGGATCACCATGTTCATATATTTTCTTTAATCTACGGTTCAAATTACATATAATAATGTTACCAAAATTTCATTTTTCCCTAACAATTCAATGTTTTTGCGGTGGAATGCCATGGATTGTAAGATCTTATAGCCGATTTCCGTGTCTACTATATCAATTTTGTTTTGACTTTACGACTATCAAAGTCCATTGTATGTACCTTAGTAATTTTACTGTTCATATTCTCAAAAATTCTACATACTCGTAGATTTTAAAACGCTCTTTTTTCTCAAATAAAGGAATGAATAACATGAGCATGGGTCCCGGTGGTCCCGGCGGCGGCGGTGGAGGAGGAGGCGGCGGCGGAGGTGGCGGTCCAGGTGGACGCAACTCCGTCGAAATCATGATCCCCGGTCCCAAGGTCGGTTTGATCATTGGCAAAGGTGGCGAGACCATCAAGCAATTGCAGGAAAAGAGCGGTGCCAAAATGGTGGTGATCCAGGATGGTCCGAATCAGGAGCACGAAAAACCGTTGGTCATCAGCGGCGATCTACAGAAAGTTGAGTACGCCAAGCAATTGGTCTACGATCTGATAGCCGAGAAGGAAATGAAGAACTTCAGTAGAGGTGGTGGCGGCGGAGGAAGAGGCGGTCGTGGAGGAGGAGGGGGCGGAGGATCCAACGACGGGTACAACGATTTCGGTGGTGGCGGCGGTGGAGATCAAATGGAGGTAAACGAGTTTATTTAAAGTCAAATTCTGCAATTTAGAGTGTAAATTTTCAATGTAAAGTCTAAACTCCTAATAGTAAGTCAAAACTCCCCATATTTATTATATTTGTCGAATCCAGGTGTTGGTGCCTAGACCAGCCGTGGGCGTCGTAATAGGCAAAGGAGGAGATATGATAAAGAAGATTCAAGCCGAGACCGGTGCTAAAGTCCAGTTTCAACAGGCTAGAGATGAAGGACCAGGTGACAGAAGGTGCTTTTTGTCCGGCAATCCTAAGCAAGTTGAAATGGTAAGCAAAAATTTAAATATTTCCCGTTTAAAGTCTAAATTTTCCATTATAAGTTCAGTAATTTCATATCAAAATATAAATTCAGCATTGTTGGTTTAATGTCAAAATGTCTAATTTCGCTTTAAAGTCAGTATATTCAATATAAAGTTAGTATTTTATTTTTAAAATCAAAATATACAATATAAAATAAGTATTATTGATTTAAAGAAGAAATATTCGATTTAGAGACAGATTTTCGATTTAATATAAAAATGTCCAATATAAGTTAGTATTTTTGTTTTAAAGTCAAAATATCCAAGTGACAGGAGGTGTTGTTTGTTCGGAAATCCTAGTATTTTCGTTTTAAAGTCGAAATATCTATTTTTAAGCCAAAATATCCAGGTGACAGAAGGTGCTGTTTGTTTGGCAATCCTTAAGCAAATTGAATTGATAATCGAAAATTGACACGTTTTCCATTTAAAGTCAACATTACCCATTTAAAGAGTGTTAAAAGTTCCTGAGGTATAAATATTTTGTTCTAGGCCCGTCAACGTATAGACGAACTTATAGACAGTGTTCTGCAACGCGACGGCGGCGATAACGGTATGGGCGGTCCGATGGGCGGCGGTATGAGGGGTGGTCGTGGTGGTGGCCGCGGTGGACGTGGCGGTCATCGCGGCGGTGGGGGCGGTTTCGACCGCGGTGATAGAAACGGTGGTGGTGGTGGGGACTTTGGTGGCAACCAATGGGAAGATAGGAGAGGAGGTGGACCAGGCGGACATCAGGGCGGTCCCCCGCAGGACGTGACGTCGTTTACTGTTCCTGCTAATAAATGTGGTGTCATAATTGGTAGAGGTTAGTAAAAAAAATAGGCTTTAGGTTAAAAGTTGTAATATTAAATTGTATGTAAGAATATTCAGTTTAAAGTCAAAAATGTTCAATTCTAATGTTAAAATGTCTGTTTTAAGGTCTCTAAAATATTTAAACTTTATTCTGTTTTTGTTTTTAGGAGGAGAAACGATAAAACAGATCAACCAACAGTCGGGCGCCTATTGCGAACTAGACAGGCGATCCCAGAATCCCAATTCCAACGAAAAAGTATTCCTGATCAAAGGAGACCCGGATTCTATCGAAACCGCCAAAAGGATCATCCAGGATAAAGTCCAGATGCCTTTGAATTTCGTTTCACAAGGAGGCGGAGGCCCCCCTTCGATGAGCGCCAGCATGCCCACGGTAAATATTCCATTTTGAAGTAAAGTACCCAATAAATGTATGGGAAAAGTTTCTAAATAAAAAAAAAATGTTATCTAACAAGTAAAAATGTTTGCTTAATTTTAACTATTTTTATAAAAAGTATACAAATTTACAGTTGAAATATTCATTTTAAAGTCATACTATCCAATATAAGGTTAGTTTTTACATTTTAAAGTCAAAATATGCAGAATAAAGTCAGTATTAATGGTTTAAAGTCATAATATCAAATATAAAGTTGGTATTATTAACTTAGAAGTCAAAATATCCAATATCAGTATTATTCAAAACATGCATTATAAAGTTTAAAGTTAAAATATCCAATATAAATTAAGTATCTGTTTAAAGTCAAAATATCCAATATTATGTCAGTAGTATTTTCATTTTGAAATCAAAATATGCAATATAAAGCCAGTATTACAAACTAGTGAGTTGTGAGTCGTATACCATTAGTAGGTTGAGACTTATAACTTGTAGAACTTCATTTGGAAAAAAATTAAGGATTATATGTATAGTAGTGTAATGTTAAATTAAAATTGTATGTTTTGTAGGCATATCCCGGTATGGCACCACAGGGTTACAACCCACAAAACAACTGGGGCATGCAGGGCGGCAACTACCCTCAACAGCAGCAATGGGGCGGTCAACCGCAAGGTAATGATACCCAACAGGCTCCACCTAATCAGGTTCAAATGAATCCTTCAACGGGACAGCCCGATTATTCCATGCAGTGGGCTGAATATTACAGGTCCCTAGGTAATGTGTCAAAATGTTCGTTATTTGTTCAGCTGCTCTTTACTTTATTTTTCAATAGATTTTTTTTGTGTCTTATCTGTAAGTCAAAATTTTTTGCTTAATTTTACCAATTTTTAGATAATTTAGTGTCAAATTTATAGTTTAAATCCAATTTAAAGTCAGTAATTTCATTTTAATAAATAAATAAATTTTAAATAGTAATATGAAGTCGGTATTTTCGGTTTAAAGTTAAAATATGAAATGTAAAGTTAATATTTACGATTTAGAGTAGAAATCCAATTTAAAATCCGTAATAGCGATAAAAGTCAAAACATCCAATATGTAGTCATTATTTTCGTTTTAAAGCGATCATTTTCGCTAAAAAGTCAAAATATGAAGTTAGTGTTTTCGAATTACCGTCAAAATATCAAATAAGTTAGTATTTTCGAATTAACGTCAAAATATCTAAAGTCACACTTTTCAGTAGCAAGCAAAAAATGTCCAATTTAAGGCCAAAATGTTAAGTTTTTATTTATATATTAAATTTTTAGGCAAAATTTGCAGTTCAAAGTAAAGAATTTCTGTTTAAATAAAAAAACTATTTTAAAGTCGAAGTATCTAATTTTAAGTCGGGATTTACAGTTTAAAATTAAATAAAACATTTTTTATTTCAAAATATTGCATATTGGGAAAGTCAAAATATTTAAGTCTTAAACTGTATCCGGCAAAACACGGCACGGTTTGTAATCAATATCATTTTGCCCTGCCTTTTAAGCAGGCATGCACCGAGAGGCGGAGATGATCGAACAACAAGCGAAGGCTAAGGCCGTCACTGGTTCGGCGGCTCCGGGTATGCCACAGGCGCCCGCGGGAGCTGGAGCCGCCGCTCCATCTGCAGCTCCGGCCGGACAGTCTCAGGCCGATTACAGTGCGCAGTGGGCCGAATATTACAGAAGCATCGGCAAGCACAAGGAAGCTGAGGCCATCGAAGCTCAGATGAAGACCAAGGTAAGATTTTATTATTTTCATAGATCGGGCATTTTTTTGTTGAGGGTCTAATAGCAAAATATAATGTGGACCATAAGATTGATTAAAAAAAAAGAGAAGGTACAGGTATACAAGCATTTTATATCTTTTATTAAAATAAAATTAATAAACTTCTCGTGTACCCAATTATTAGATCTTGACTAAATTAACATGGGACCGCCCCTGGGTATCTATTCTTGAATCTCAGGGAGTAGAAATTTTGAGGAATAAATGAGACAAAAATAAAAATTTTGTGCGTTGCAAAGAGGAAAAATTGGTTTTCTATTCCCTCGAATTCAAGAATAGCTATCTTAAATAGAAATAGAATCTATTAATCTTTGAGAATTATAGACTATACAAAGACACTAGGTACATAATGTAAAATCCCATCAGACTAGTCAAAAAAGTGTTAAGTAAAATAATAAAAAATAAAATATATATAATAGACAATTCATGTTAAGATTAGTTTAAAAGTTCAAAAAATCTTCTATACTATAAAATACATTATTTACAAGAAAATCATTAAGATGTTTTCTTAAATCATTACGACTAATTTGATGATAACCTGTAGTATCTTCTAATATGTTACTGAACTTATTGTAACACTTAATCCCAATATATTTTGATGAATGCTGGCTTATTTGTAGTCGTGAAAAAGGTTGATGGATGTTAAATTTTAATCTAGTATCATATGAGTGCAGGTCTTTATGCAACTTGTTTCCTTTGGAGGAATGAGTCATCCTGTACAGGGGCATTCCTAGAATCGCTTGTGTTTTTGTTTGGTATTAAATGTTTATTTCCAATAGGTATACTCACACTTTCAGTTTTTGTTGGTTTTGGTTTTTCTATAAAATATTTCGTTTTTTCATTTTTAAGTTCAACTTTTAAGATTTTTTTTTTTTAATCATTGGTTTGCTAGATTTTGTTCTTCTACTAGTAATTTTAAAAAGTTATAAGCATCAATGCAAAATACATCACCTTTACTTTTTTTCTTGATCCATAGTCTTAGATTTTTCAATAACTTTTGGTTTTCAGCATCTTATGATAGCATTTACTCTTTGTGCACATGATGGATGATATTTCAAGTCACAGATTTCACATTTTACATTAGCAGTTACTCATTTTTTACAATAATTACACTCGTCAGTATTTTGCGCGTGCGGTTCAGTCGGCGCCATCTTGAAATCTAAAGTATCCCCTTTCTAACAAAAAAAAAAAAAAAAAAAAAAAAAATAATAATAGAATTCGGACCACGTAAAGAATTATCGCTGAACATACATAAAAAAAATCTGTTCTATGGAGACACTCTTCCTTTTTTGAAGTATTTTAAAAATATAAATAAAATATTTTTTATATTTTTTTGGTAAATAAATTATTATCATTATTATTATTATTCATAAATTTGACGGGCTCTGTCAATATGATACCGAAAGATCAAGGGCGGGCTGGATAAATGTGTTACCCATACCTTGCTATAGGCATTAATTTTCTCGGCATTGTAATTTTATGTTAGTTTTGAAGACATCTTCAGATTTTAAAAAATAACGTTTCTATTACAGACAAGCTCGTCAGTGGCACCCGGATCTGCACCGGCGGCTCCAGGCACCCAACCGGGTTACCAAGCGCCGCAGGGCCAACAAGCCTATGCCGGTTATCAACCACAAGCCGCAGCAGCCGGTAATTCAATAACGAAACCCGTTTTCCTAACGTAAAACAATCTAATGTTGGACCTATTTTCAGGTTATTACGGAGCCCAACCGCAGGCCCCAGCAGTCCCTGGCGGTGTACCTCAAGGAGGTTATGGCTTCCCGTCCTACAACTACGGAGGACAAGCAGCGGGTGGACCGGGCTCGCAGGATTAATGCTGAAAGTAAGTTCAATGACGTTCCTTTAAAAAACGTTTTTTTTTGTTTATTTTTAACACCTACTTTGGAAAACAATGATTGATTGCGCATTTGTTTCTATTTTTCGTTTGGTAAATAAATTCTAATATCTCTATTGCATAATATATAAAATGGCTCATAAATATGTTTCGTATCGTATTTGTCGTTTATTATTTTTTTCTCTTTCTATTTATGCATTTCAGGAGAAAATTACCAGGTTGCGAGAGCACACTGGTCGAATCTGCATTGCGATTGTTTTCTATGTAGCGTTTTTTATTTATTTTTGTTTTATTGAGTATGCTGCCCACATGTGAAATTTAATTAACTTTGAAAGAAATAAAGTAACATGGTGTGAAAAATAATAATAAAATTCGGAAATTATGTTTAAAGTAACTACTAAAAAGACTATGATTCATCAACTTTGCTGGTTTTCAGATGATGAGTCAATAAAGGCAAACTTTGCTTTTTGCTAAAACTAATTATTCAAATATTTGAAATTTCTAAAAACATGTTCATAACAGTTGTGAAAACGTTTTGTGCAATTTAATATCTTTGCTCGTTTTTAAATGCCCTGATGATAAAGTCAAAAGTTGCATTTTTGAGGTTGTGAGATGGTCATCTATAAAATCTTACCAAACTGGAACTAGTTATTTGACGAGTTATTTGATTAGTTTAAAACTTACAGAAGACGTTTAAAACAATTGTTGAAACGTTGTTTGAAAAACTGCAATTTAATTTATTTCTTTTTTTTTTAATTTAAAAGTTACATTTTTGATTTTGTGACATATTCATCTATAAAATGTCACCACTCTTAAAGCAGTTACTAGATTAATTTAAAACTGACCAAAGATGTTTAAAACAGTTGTTGAAACGTTATGTGGAAATTGCAGTTTAATACTCTTATTTTTAAATGACCAAGTGATAAAGTCAAAAGTTGCAGCTGTGACATAGTCATGTATAATGTGTTACCAGTCTGAAAGCAGTTACTAGAATAATTTAAAACTGACAAAAGATGTTCAAAACAGTTGTTAAAACGTTATGTGAAGAATTGCAATTTAATATCTTCTTCCGTTTTTCAATGGTGAGTTTGAATTTTTATAATTCTGACAGAATTTCACGTCTGAAAGCAGTTATTGTATTAATTTCAAATTTTTAAAAGATGTTTAAAACAGTTGTTAAAACGATCTGTAGAAGACTATAGCACAAGTAGAAGTTGGTAGTTAAAGAGGGGGTAAACGTCAAACCACGTCGGACGGCTTCGAGAATTTCGCAGAAATATTTACCTGCCAGTGTCGTTTCATAGAATAAGTAATTTTAAATTGTATCGCATGTATTTATGGACTGTACATAATTATTAAACATGTATTATAATATTCAAATCATAATTTTATAAAATTTCAACAGCTATTCACAATTTATTCAACTATTTACTCGAAATTGTTATTAACATCTATAAAATAATTTTGTACGCCAATGTATCGCGTCCACTTCGGTTAGACCGCCGCAAACCTTTCAATTTATGTGTTAAAGTGGGAGAACTGGCAAAAGCCTTTCCAACTTCTACTTGTGCTATACAATTTAATAACTTTGCTTGTTTTTAAATTACCTAATCATAAAGCCAAAAGTTCAATTTTTGAGGTTGTGACATGGTCATCTTTGAAATCTTAACAGACTGAAACCAGTTAGTTGATTAATTTTAGACTTTCAGAAGGTATTTAAAATAATTGTTGAAATGTTGTTTGGAAAACTGCAATTTAATATATTTTCTTGTTTTTAAATGACGAGGTGATAAAGTCAAAAAGCGCATTCTTGAGGTTGTGACAGTCATCTATAAAATCCCACCAATCTAAAAGCAGTTATTGGATTATTTTAAAACTTTTTGTTTTTAAATGACATAATGACAAAGTCAAATTAATTTAAGACTTCAAGGTATTTAAAATAGTTATTGAAATGTTGTTTGGCAGACTGATTAATATATTTCTTTGTTTTTAAATGGCGAGGTTTTAAAAGTCAAAAATTAAATTTTTGATGTGGTAATAAAGTCATCTATAAAATGTCACCAGTCTCAAAGCAGTTATTGAATTAATTTAAAACTTCTTGTTTTAAAATGGCCTAATGTTGTGTTTTTGAGGTTGTGACATGGTCATCTATAAAATCTCACCAGACTGAAACCAGTTGGTTGATCAGTTTAAAACTTATAAAAAATAAAACAGTAGTTGAAAAACAGTAGTTGAAACTTTGTTTGGAAGAATGCAATTTAATATATTTCTTTGTTTTTAAATGACATTGTGATAAAGTTAAAAGTTTCAATGCCTATTTCATCTGTCAAATCCCTGGCTACACACTCCAATAAATAATTGAAGCTAAGATAAATTGCCTATCATTTGTATCCATTGCTTTATTACTATTTTTAAACTGGTGATTTGTTCATTCTAGTAAGAGTTTCTTCACTTCAGTTCCACTTTGTATCAAAATATAGCACACCATTTAGTCTTAATTTATTGGATTAAGTCGATCAATAGTATTTTTAAATTCAATTGGTTTTATTACAGTATTTCTAATTATTTTTAGTTCTTTATATGAATAGAGTTTATTTCGTTAAAAATATTTGCATATGAACTTGTGTGGGCAGGATGCAGCAACTGTTTCAGGTGCTGAATTGAAGCAGCGAGATATCAGATTTATATATTTACAGATTTTAGAATGCGGGCCGCAATTGTCTACTAAGAACTTCCAGAGAAAATCAATTTCTTAGACCTTAAGAATATTTTAAAGAACATACAAAATACAACCAGGTATATTTTAAATAAAAACAAAAACTAGCTGTGTTTGCCCGATATTAGAAGTCACGTACACACACGCTCATGCAGTTAATCCGAGACAATTCTGTTTTTCACCAATTTTTTTTCTTTCATCATATTAGATATATTTAAATCAATCTTAGACGTAAGAGTTTTTTTTTTTGTTTCTAAAATAATGCAGTTGATTGACAACAGTTGGAAAATTGAATTCCAATAAAAACTTTTGACTATACATATTTTTATTTGCTTTTTTTTAATGCCCTTTTGTATTATTTTCATAGATATCTATATATACATATACATATTGGTAGTAGTGCTAAATATAGGTAAAATGTGTGTTTTTCCTTCATATATTCTGCTCATGTTCGACATTTTCATTTTGAATTAGAATGTAAGTTTAATATTATAGGAGTGTTTTTAAGTAACGCCGTGTTTTCTTAACAATGGAGACTGGATCTGCTTTTTGGTAAGGATTTAGCGCCGACTTTATCTCGGAAAAAGTAACATTTACCGCTTTATTTTAGTCTGCAAAAAATTATTTGTTTTTTAACATTATTATATTTAGTACGTGCGATCAGTGTTACTTTTTATGTGAGAGGGTTAAACTGCAAAGGAAAAAAAATTAAAACAATTAGTTGTTATAGATATATGTTTTAAGTTAAATTTTTAATATGTACTGCGGATAATATTTGCTTCACTCTGTATAAATATTAAACATGACTATACTTTGGTGTTTCTTCTTTGTTATTTATTATGATTTTTTACAGATCCACCTCATCTATGGCGATGACCTTGTTTTTAAATATTTATTCTTGATATATATTTAATTTGAAATATTTTCATCACACTTTTTTATGTATTATATACACTTATATTGAGGTTTGCGATATAATTTGTTTACATTTGATACCTATATATGCATAAATAATTTTTTTAATCTTATATTTACTATTTAGCATCACGGTAGGTATTATGGTGGTATTTATTATAACACATTTTATGCATTGATATATTTTATATTTATACACTTCATTTCTCATATATACGTTTATTTAGTATAATTTTATTGTGATGTTTTTTCTCAATATTTTTAATATAAAACAAGGTAACTTGCCAGTAGGTAAAGCGATACTCGAACGGTTCTAATCTGATACGCAACAACTTCACTTCGGTCACCAACTACGGGATCTGCATTACCGACATAGCCAACTTGATACACGTTTTTGACGTTCGATATTTCATTTTTTGACGTTTGACAACAAGTTTTCACTCATTTTCTCTGGAAAAAACGTTTTTAACATTTAAAAGTTCTTTATTCCGCTGTAGCATTATTTTGAACTCATTTGTGAGTTTTAATTTTCAAGCCTTTTTTTAATTCACTTAACTTTTGATATGAATTGTTTTTTAAATTTTGAATATTTTGCTTAAGGACAGCGTCTCCTAGGAATTTCTGAACAAAATTATGTCAATTTAGATTCAATCAAGGAGGTGCTGTTACCTACCGACTAGAGATTGAATTAGTGCAAATTATTACAGAAATCTTTAAGTAACTATAAATATCGACCGACTAGCTATTAGGGGATATTGTATTATAAACCGGTTTTTAGTAGACTGAGTTCGAAGGATCCTAATAATAGTCCTGAACATAAAATCTATTTTTCAATAATTGCCGGGATTTTACCAAATAAAAAAAAATATTTCGCAATTGTGAAATCGGTCCAATCGTTTTATATGCAATTTATAATATTATATAAATGTTAACTCTAGGACTCATTTTGGAGTATGAGCATACTTTATTTCAATACTTTTATTGTACTGTTTCATAAAGTATTACCTACCTATTACATTTTATTTTTATCGAAAATTGACTTTGTTTCCTGGACCAAAGTAAAGAATGTAGGTAGGTATGCGATGGTTAACAACAAAAACGATATCTTGACTCACATTAAATATAAATATTTCCTAAAACAAATAATTTGGTTTATATACGAGTAGTAATACGAGGGATGTTTATAATTTCAAGTCACGAATATAGAGTCGTTTCAAAATATATTGCCACAATAATTGCGTCACATTGAGTCGGAGTGGGACGCTTGACGTGTCGCAATTCGCAATATATTTTAAAACTATTCTACCTAATTAATAAATTGTGATTTTGAAGTATCGAATGAAAACTATATTCTCATTGGTTAAAGATGGAAGTTTTTATCATTTGAATGTTCAAGAATATTATTTGTGATTAATTGGTTAAGTTATCTGTTATCTGATGTTGGTACTAACCTAATGTTTTCGGGTAATTTTGACGGTCATTTCCTGGAATTTCCAGGCCCGCATAAATATTTATCCTATTAAAGTACAAAAACCCTACAATAGATATTATGAGTAGGTATTTAACATTCATTTATCTTATCTTAGGTAGTTATTACCTAGAAATATTTCCCTGATTGTCAATAACACATTACCGTATATCTGTGCCAATATGAGTTACGACATTTAATATACTTAATGAAGGCTGGGGGAAGGAGTTAAGAGTCTATAAATTTACAAACAAGCTTACGGGTATTTAGTTTTATTGTGCTGATTGTTTTTAATAAGTGCTATTTTCTTTAATAGAAAATTAATTTATTTGTGCAAGTGTCCTAGTGAGTTTCATTGTACATTTTAATCAGTTTTATTTTTGGATAAATTGACATCGACTTCCTGCATTAAAGGTAGGTAGTATTTTTTTTCTATCACTCTCGAGTTCGTCATTGAATAAAAAAATTAAACGCTATAATTTTAACATTCAAATATTTGCAATTAAAAAATAATATTACGTATTAAATTTGACAATAAAAAAACTTGTTATTTAATAATAATGTTTCATTATTCTGAATATATTTTTTCTACGATCAATATCCAAAGTAGGTAGGCTTTTGCATATTAAAATCTAAATAAAAAGTTGACGTTTTCTGCGAATTGTCATAATTTGACATTATTGGCGCACATTACCTAATATTCAAACCCATTTCCATGCTTAAAAATAGAAGATGGTGACATTCATTTAAAAGAAAACCATAACTACTTTTACCAGGTGAAAAATTTCAATATGTTAAAATAATTCATGATTTTTAAGAAATGTGCTAGAAATGATACTACAATATTAATATTCTTTTTATGTTTGATTTTCTAATAATGATTTTATATACTATTAGATTCAAGGACAGCTAGGTATAGCTCAAAGAAAATTGTGCTACTTTGTAGTATATACTGGAGATGAAAATTCACTATTTGTTGAAAAAATTCATTTTCAACCCATTTTTTTTTTAAATATGGTTGAAAAATTAGAAAAATTTTACTCGGAATATATGGCACCTGAGATAATTTTAAATAGAAGAGGACGAGGATTAAAATGTCTGGATACCCCATATAATGAAACTTAAAGTGCATAGATTAGAAAATTTATAAAAATAATAATTTAATGGACTTTAATGATACAAGTACTTGAAATAATGGTTTTTTTTGCGCAGAAGCATGTTCATACGTAATTTGCAATTGGTAATCACTAAATACAGATGGAAAAGTATATACGTCAACGATATGATCTCTTATTTTTGATTTATTTTAACAGGCATAATATATGGTATGTTACTTATAGTATAGATTTTTTTATTTCTCGACCTAATTTATTTGTTACGTCTTCAGCAATTGTCCTTTCAGTTGACATAAACGAAATTGATAAAAAGTGTTTTTCGCATTTTATATTGACTGTTTCTCTTACTTTCGAATAGAAACTGAGCTTTGTAAACATAAAATGACGGATATGTCAAACTAAAACTGACGGTAAAATGAAACATTGAGTATCGTTAAATGCAACTTTTGAACTAGTATCAAAAATAGCATTAAAATGATATTATCATTCACAATGTACTAATTTCCTATTCTTTTAGTTGATAAATAACCGATAATCATACATCATATAACAAATAGGCGCGTGTCAAAAGGTCAGAAAAAAGAGTGCCGATGAAAAAAGGTCGTTTCCAATTGTATCATATAAACAGTATTAGAGGCAATATTATCATCTCGTATATCCCCCGTAAACACACATAATATAAACGGAAATAATCAAATACTAGTCAAAATATTATCGATCGGAGCACCATCTTTATTACATTACATGAAGTAATTATTGATTTTTCGGGGTTTATTTAGAGTTAAATTAGACGCCATTTTTGGTCCAAATTCGTTTTGACATGTTTTTTCAAAGAAAGTGACTTATAAATTTCAAATCTACACGTTTTGAAAAATATACAATATTTAAATATTCTGAGTGTACCAAATTCCAAGTAAAGGTTGAACTTAGGTCGTATTACATTTTTTTTTATTATTTGTTTGACATCGAGGTTAAAATAATTCTACACGGCACCTTTGAGATGAAATAAAAGGGGGTTATTTTACATGATTGGTTTTTATTGAAAATAATAAATTTATTAATTTTCAATAGTAAGGTGACCTAAGTTAGACCTTTATTTTTAATTTTGCCAAAAATTAGATTTTTAAACACTATATATTTGAAAAACTGTCGATTTAACTTTTGGTCTACACATACAATTTTTATACACAGGGATACCCCGTCCTTAACGATTGACAGCTTTTTAACTTTGACAGTTAAATAAGTTTTCGAAATGTGGCTAAATTGATAAAGCTATGTTGGCCTTGTCGGTAAAGCAGATTTTATGTTTAAAGATAGGTGTGAAGTTGCTGCTAATTAAACTGGAAGTGTCTGCGTGGCACAAGTGACGCATTATCTACTTTTGCCATAACCTTTCCCCATTTTCCTTTTCACCCTTCTATAAAAATAATTTTCAGCTGTCTTGTGTTGGATTGCCCATTGAAAACTGGTTTATTTTTCTATATCCGATTTGAGTGGTTATAAAATATAACAAAAACGGTTTAAAATTGTGATACAGCATGGTATACACATACAGAGTGTGCCAAGGAAAACGATTCAAGGTCAATTTATTTGTGGAGGGGGAAACCCGTTACTCATTTCCAAACCCCTATCTTTAACCCCTTGCACAGGATACTGTACTCCCCTAAAATCTTAAATGGAAAGTGGCGTTGAGTGACACCTTGTTTGAAAGGTCTTTCAATTATATTTTCAATGATACCTCATTTGCAGGGGCGGTTTCTCCATTGGTTCATTTGTGCAGTGAACACCCAGATAAATTTCATAAGAGCACATTATTTTAAAATCACATAAATAACTTAATAATATAAATTCACTTCAATATATTTATTATTTTCGTACGTATTAATCTCTACGTTTTTTGGTACCCCACTGCGCTCAGGCCGAAATTCCCCCTTTAGCCACCCACGCACATACTTTGATTACTATACGAGGCAAGAGAGAGGTCCGACACGCCCAACATAGGGCGCGGCCATTTTGGACCCTGTGGCACAGTTTACAGCTAAAGAATCAGATCGCTCACTCTGCGTCGGCACTTTGAATCTAAATGTTTCAGTTTATACACTGTGCAACTCGGATAATACAATATATGACAACCGCCTATAATAAAACAGCAGTCTTCTGCGTATCCTGAATTTGTATCCCTGGAGTGGATGTTATTTTGGAACTTTCAACTGGTCCGATTGAGCTAACTGATTCTTTAGCAATAAACTGTGACTTCAAAAATAATATTCACTGACACTGACAGCAGCAAGCAAAATATCAGGTGCGTTTTAATCATCCGCTTCTGCTTCCGGAATTGTCGGTTTA